GGTCACGATGGCATGCATTCTCGAAGCCTGGGCTGCGATAATAAATGCAGGGTAGGATTTCTTTTTTAAACGTATCTACTCATTTAAGCACTGTTTTATGGAGCACCTGCTGTATGCCAGGCATGGCGATAGGCACGTAGTGTGTGATGGAACAAATTGGATAGATCCTTGTCAGCGCGGAGCTGAAGGTCTAGTGAATGCATCTAGGAGGAATATGTGTTTAGCCTGCCAAAGGCCACGCACGCTTTCATTCCACAAGCTTTTGGGGCGTTCCTACAGCCTTGGCTCTGCGGAGTCCCTGCCCTCAAGGTTCTTTTAGTTGAGTTCAAAGTTACTCCTCCCACTAGAATTCCTGCCTCCCCTTATAACTCAAGCTCCATGAACTTTCAAGGATGCGTCTTAAGCACCTAGAACAGTGCCTGGCTCACAGAAGGTGCTGGATAAACAAGTGTGGAGTGAATGGTTCTCAGTTCAGGTTACACAGAAAAAACTTATGGCTTCATCCCAAACCGGATGGACCCAACTCTCTGGAGGCGGGGCCAGAGCCTGGGTATTTTTTTTTTAAAGCTCACCAACAGCCCAGAGGGAAAACCTCTGGTCTAATGTGAATAAATGAAGAGAAAAGAAATTACACAATAGGGAAGGACAAATGACCTGTGATGGTCACTATCAGGATGTATGAGATGGAAGAAGGAATGGGAGCATGCAGGGCAGCAAAGAAAGAGGAAAACTTTTTTTTTTCCCCTTCAGGGTTGACAAATTGGGATGAGAGGGTGTCTCAGGAAACCAATCCAAGAACTAGAAACAGCTTCACACTAAATGCATGTCAGAATTTCACACTGAGTCCAAAAAACAAAACCAAAAATGACAAACAAAACAAAACAACAAGTACCTTGAAAATCCAGGGTGGGGTGCATTGCAGACACACGGGGACGTGTCCCACCTACATTGTTCACATTGATCTTAGCAACAGTCCTCTGGAACAGGATTGCAGTTTTACAGATGAATATACAATTCTTACAGAGGGAAAATCCCTCTAAAAGCCACCCAGACAGATAAGGATTGATCTGAAATCAAAACCCAATCTGTCTCCAGAAACTGCACCCTTCAGTGGTAGGCTTTCAGAGATTCTCCAGAGAGATCATCCTTCATGGATACAGTAGGAGAAATTTGAGTTGATGAAACATTGGATAGCTTGAAATAAGCTGAATGTTGAGGAAACCAATTACGAAACATCTATTATTATTCATCCAGCAAATATTTTTTTAAGAGAGAGAGAGAGAATTTTAATATTTACTTTTTAGTTATCAGCGGACACTATCACTGTTTGTATGTGGTGCTGAGGATCGAACATGGGCCGCACACATGCCAGGGGAGCGCGCTACCGCTTGAGCCACATCCCCAGCCCATCCAGCAAATATTGATTGAGAAACATCTAGGTGTCTGACACAGTGACGGTTTGTAGCAACTTATCATGGCTACTTCTGACCTCATACTTGGGTGCCAGTCACAGTTTGCCCCACTCCTACTCATTTCTAAAGGAATCAGCCCCTCCTTGACTGAGAACTGCACCTGCTGTCCCATGACTCTCAGCCAAGGTGACTGGCTCAGAAGGGGGATGCTGACCCAAATACATCCAACCCAGACAATTGGCAATACCATTTTTGCATAGCTGGGAAAAGTGAGCCATCTGGTACCTTTTTCTTTTTCTTTTCTTTTTTTTTCATCTACCTTTGTCTTTTTGTTGTGGCATCTTCCTATGCTACCCGAGCTGTTCTTGAACTTGTGGGCTTAAATGATCCTCCTGCCCCAATCTCCTGAGTGCTGGGAATCATGGATTCTAATGTCTCTGAGTTACTATGTAACTCAGCCATTTCCCCACTATCTGTAATCTTCAAAGAATTGAAAGCAAACATTCAAGCAGATCCTTGCCCACCAATGTTTTAGCAACATCATTTACAATAGCCAAAGGGTGGAAAGAACTCAAATCAACCCCAAAAGATGCATGGATAAACAAAATGTGCTTTATACACACAAAAGAATATTATTCAGTTGTATAAAATAATTTAGTTTTAAATAACTCAATCAATAAATGGGCTGAGGATATGAACAGACACTTCATAGAAGAAATACAATCAATCAACAAATATATGAAAAAATGTTCATCATCTCTAGTAATTAGAAAAATGCAAATTAAACTACACTGAGATTCCATCTCATCCAGTCAGAATGGCAATTATCAAGAATACAAGCAACAGTAAATGTTGGTGAGGATGTGGGGGGAAACGGCACACTCGCACATTGCTGGTGGAACTGCAAATTGGTGCAACCACTCTGGAAAGCAGTATGGAACCACCATTTGACCCAGTCATTCCACTCCTCTGTTTAATACCCAAAGGACTTAAAACCAGCATATTACAATGTCACAGCCACATCAATGTTTACAGCAGCTCAATTCACAATAGTTAAACTATGGAACCAACCCAGATGCCCTTCAACAACATACAAATGGATAAAGAAACTGTGGTATATATACACAATGGAATAGTACTCAGCCTTAAAGAAGAATGAAATTATGGCCTTTTCAGGTAAATGGATGGAGCTGGAGAATATCATGCTAACCAAAATAAGCCAATCCCAAAGAACCAAAGGCTGAATGTTTTCTCTGATATGTGGATGTTAATTCACAGTAAGGTGGGGGGCTAGGGAAGAATAGAGGTACTACGGATTAGACAGACGGAAGTGAAGGAAGGCCAATCCATAAAGACAGAGAGTAGGAGCAGAGCCAACAAGGGCTGAGGGGAGAGAAGAATGGGAATTATTTAAAGAGTACTGAGGAACTGTGCTCCATGTGTGTAATATGAATTGTCATGCATTCTGCTGTCAATATAACAAATGAGAATTAAAAGAAAAAAGAAAAACATTGCTTGTCTAAATAAACTTGTCTATTTGAAATCTAAAAAAAAATACAGAGTTTCTGTTTGGAGCAATGAAAGAGTTACAGGAATGCATAGCATGGCTGGTTAGACAACGTTGCGAATGTTCTTTATACCACGGAATTGTACACTTAAAAACTGCTTAAAGGAGCTGGGCGTGAGGGTGCACGCCTGACATCCCAGAGGCTTGGGAGGCTGAGGCAGGAGGATCGTGAGTTCAAAGCCAACCTCAGCAATGGTGAGACGCTAAGCAACTCAGTGAGACCCTGTCTCTAAATAAAATACCAAAAAGGGCTGGGGATGTGACTCAATGGCTGAGTGACACTGAATTTAATCCCCTATAAAAAACTGGTTAAAGGATATATAATACATGCAATTGTTATGGAAGAGAGTTTAAAAGTTCCCCTCCAAAAATTGAAAAGAATTAACCTATGATCCAGCAATTCCATTGCTTAGTGTGTATCCAAAAGAATTGAACACAGGGTCATAAAGAGATAGCTGCACACCGGTGTTCATCACCAAGAGTGGGAAACAACTGAGATGTCCCCTGAAAATGAGTGGATACAGAAACCATGGTATACGCTTACAATGGAACATTATTTAGCCATAGAAAAGAAGGGAATCCTGTCATATGCTACATGTGTATCAGGACATACTGCTAAGTGAAATAAACCGGTCACAAGGATGTGGGGGAAAGGTACACTTATACATTGGTGGTGGGACTGCAAATCAGCCAAAGGAACCAAATGCTATGTCCCATTATAATGTTCCAATAAAAAAAGGAAATAAGGTGGTCACCAAAAGAGAAATACTGTATGATTCCTCAAAATCAGAAAGAATGGTAGTTACTATGAGCTGAAGGAAGGGGAATGGAGAGTTGTGTGTATAGAGGATTTCAGTTTTGCAGAACAAAGAAGTCCTACCAATCCATTGCACAATGAAGTGCATACAGCTGGCACTACTGTACTGTTCGTGGGCACAAATGGTTAAGAAGTTAATTTGTAGTGTAATCCCAGTGGCTCCGGTGGCTGAGACAGGAAGATCTCAAGTTCAAAGCCAGCCTCAGTAATTTAGCGAGGCCCTAAGCAAAGTCTCTGAATAAAATATATTTTTTTAAAGGGCTGTGGCTGTGGCTCAGTGATTAAGTGCCTCTGGGTTCAATTCCTAGTTCCAAGGGAAAAAAAAAAAAGAAAGAAAGAGGTGTTAATTTATGTGTGTATGTGATCAAACCCTCATGCACTTCAGGCAGGGGCTCTACCACTGAGCTACATCCCCAGCCCTAAGATGCAAATATGATGGTATGTGTTGCTTACTAAAATAAACAAAATGGTTAAAGAGTAATTTTACATTGTGCGCATTTTGCCACAATTAAATTAATACCACTGGAAATGTTAGTCTGACCCATGAGGAAGCATTCTAGAAAGCATTAATGCGGTTGCTTTGCTCACTCATTTGTATTTCTCACCTCCACAACTTAACCACTAACTGTACCGCGTTTTTTGGGAGTCAGGGGTACCAGGGATTGAACTCAGGGGCACTGGACCACTGAGCCACATCCCCAATCCCATGTTGTATTTTATTTAGAAACAGGTCTCACTGAATTGGTTAGGGCCTCCCTGTTGCTGTGGCTGGCTTTGAACTCGCAATCCTCCTGCCTCAGCCTCCCAAGCACCACGGCTCCGCTGCTTTTTAAAGTAATCTTTTGGGCTGGGGATGTGGCTCAAGCAGTAG